CTTGGGCGGTTTTGTTTTGTCTTTCCTTGGGTTTTTTGTTTGTTTGTTTTCATAAGAAATTTGATTTTTTTTTCAATTTCTGTCAATAATGATTTAGGGATTTTGACTGGCATTGCATTGAATCTATAAATGACTTTCGGTAGGATGGTCATTTTCACAATATTAATTCTTCCAATCCATGCTCAGGCCCTTCCATCTTCTGGTGTCTTCCTCAATCTCTTTAAAGATTTAAAATTTTCATTGTAGAGGTCTTTAATGTCTTTGGTCAGGTTAACTCTGAGACATTTTATTTTTTTTGCAGCTGTTGTCAAGGGGAGTGTTTCCATGTGCTCTTTCTCTGATTGCTTGTTATTGTTGTATAGAAAGGCTACAGACTTTTGTAGATTAATTTTGTAACCTGCCACTTTACTGAATGTGTTAATAATTTCTAGGAGTTTTCTAGTGGAATTTTTGACATCTCTTAAATATAATATTGTCTGCAAAAAGGGATAATTTGATCTCTTCTTTTCCAATTATTTCTCCTTTAATTTCCTTCTTGTGTCTTATTCTTGTAAGAGTTTCAAGCATTATGTGAAAAAGGAGTGGAGATAGTGGACAGCCTTGTCTAGTTCCTGATTTTAATGGGTCTTGGAAGCAAACAAGTTTTACCTGATCCTGAAATTTTGGCTCTTAAGTATCTGATCCATTTTGAGATGGTTTTGTTTTTTTGTGGTGCTGCAGAACAAAAGTATAGTGTCTTGTTTGTTTTTTTTTTGTGGTACTGTGGATCAAACCTACAGTGTTTTGTTTTTTGTGATGCTGCAGATCAAACCTACAGCCTTGCAAATACTAGGGAAGTGCTTTGCCACTAAGCCATGCTCTCAGACCCCAATGCTAAAATTCTAAAGGAAAAAGTTATTATTCAAATGATAAATTATGCCACGACTGCAAAATGATAGTTTTTGTTTTATTAAACATTTTCCCCAAAAGACTGTAATGAAACCCCGAAAGTTAGTCATAATCTGTGATTAGCAACAGCAGGTGTTTAGAAAGTGAAAGTTCACACTTAACACAAAGGCATGCATTACATACTAATGATGGCGCTCTTGATGATCTATCCTTGAGTGTGTCATACTGGATTTCAGAAAAAAATGGGAGAGTTGGTTGTATTGCCGAAGTCAGGAACATAAAGAAGGGAAAAAGCAACATTTGGCATTATTAAAAGTCTAGTACTACCTTAAAAGCAAAAGAATACTAAAGCTATTACATTTAGACAGACACTTTACCTTTCTAGTAGAAATTACTGCTAAACTGTGTATGTAATTAAAACTTTGTTTAGAGCCAGGTACAGCCATATGTACCTTTACTTCCAGCTACTCCGGAGTCTGAGACAGAGCTCTTAAATAAACAGAAGACTGTATTCTCCCTTTCTTCTTTGGGTTATGCCTTGTGCACACTATGCAACTGCTCTACCTCTGAGATTCATCCTCAGTCCCTATTTTTCTTTCAAATAACAACATTCAGAATCAGTAGTGCTAAGATGATTCAATCTTATAGTATTCAGTACAAGACAGCCTAAAGGCGGCTTTACATGTAAAGGTCAAGCATTCTGAAGTCGAAGATGCTCTCCTCGTTAGTGTTGACTGTTACCATTATATGCCATCCTTTAAAAAAAATTGCATGATGTACATGCCCAGAAAGAATGTATGAAAATAATTGAATAGAATCACGCTTACAAAAGAATAATTTCAGCATCAAAATGGGGGCGGGGGTACTACCTGGACCTGTTTGGAGACATACACCTGAAAAGCTTATTTCCTTAAGAAACTGATAAACAAAATGAGGACCAAGGCCAGCACAAAATGTGTAATTCACAGTAAGCAAACAAGTGATATTAAATACAAATCAAAAGAAAAATACATAAAGTTAGGCCAGAAAAAGCTACATTTCATGTAGGTTCCTTTAATATGTATGGCCTGTTTTAAACCTGAGAAAATGAATGAAATAGTAACTACATAGATTTACAGACTCCTTACAATGTTTCTTTAGCCATCTATCTTATGTGATTTTAAGGAACCTTAGTTACAGATGGTTACTAGCCACCATGTGGGTGCTCAGAATTGAACCTGGGTCCTCTGCAAGAGCAGTCAGTGCTCTTTTTAACTGCTGAGCCATCTCTCCAGCCCACTGTATCTCTTTTTAAAAAAAAAAAAAACATGACCAAAACATATATTACTCATGTATTTTATTTATTTTTATTTTTTGTGTATGAGTGCCCTGTCTGCATGTATGTAAGTGCACCCATGTTGTGCAATGCCCATGGAGGTCAGAAGAGGGCACTGGATTACCCTGGAACAGGAGTTACAGACACTTGTTAGCCATCATGTGGGTGCTGGGAATTGAACCCGGGGTCCTCTGCAAGAGCAGCCAATGCACTTAACCACTGAGCCATCTCCCCAGCCCCTCAAGTCATATATTCTTGCACATAAAACTCCGCATTCCCTCAACAAGGTAAGCTCAGTGAAGAGAAAGGTCACTTGCTGTGTTTTCTTGCCCTCTCTGTAGCATCAAGGACATTTTATACAGGCATGAGCATTAATAAGCTGAATCAAAATTAGCCTATTTCAATTTTTGTTTTTCCAAATCTAATGCAGTTAGCTGGTTTTAAAAACTGAATAAATATGGTAGGAAATTCATAAAGTGGACACACCAATTGCTACTAGAACAACTGGGCAAACAGAAAGAACCTCCCTAAGCAATGGAAGCTGGAACTCATGTTGTTTCAAAACAAATGATTGATCAAAGGAAGGAAAGTGAGACTATTAAGGGCTCTGGCTACAACACTTCCAGATATGCTATTACAACCTGCTTATCCTAGTTAGCTTTGTTGACTTGACACAGCCTAGAGCCATCTGAGAGAAAATCTGGATTTAAGAATTGCCTGATTAGATCAGATTAGCCTGTCTGTGGGGTTGTCCTGATTATTAACTGATGTTGGAGGATACAGCCCATTGTGGGTAGCACCATCACTAGTCAGGTGATCTTGGACTGTAATAAGAAAGTTAGCTAAGCATGGGTCCATCAGTGAGCCAGACAGTGAGCCAACAGCAGCGTTCCTCCATGGTTTCTGCTTCCAAGCTCCTGCTTGAATTCCTGCCTTGACACTCCCCTCAATAACGGACTGTGACCCAGAAGCATAAGTCAAATAAATCTCTTCCTCCCTTTAAGTTGTTTTTGGTCAATGCTTTAGCACAGCAACAGAAAAGAAATTAGAACACAGAAAAAAGTTTTAATTCTCAGAAAACATGCTTGAAATTTTTCATAGGCAAACAAAGTAGAAAGTATTGGGTCTTACTAGACTGTTCGTATTACTCCTTCATCCAGAACACTGAAAGTCAACAATAAATGCATAAAAATTGAAGACCACATGTTTTTCTGGATTACACACCATTGTGTCTCTCTTTTTTTGGTGTACTGGCTCTGCTCCAGTGTGTCCCAGTAATATCCTTTGATGAGCTCTTCAGTGAAATCAAACGGTGTCACATTTATGTCACAAATGAACACAAGTTTTAAGAATATTTTAAGAACTGATGTCACAACAATTATTTCAAAGCCACTAATATGTAATTAGGAACTAAGTAAACAGCAATAAACCACAGTAAAAACTGACACCCATGAGAAATAACAATTATCCTTACAACTATGATTCAAGATCACTTCACTTTCTAATTTGAGATCTCAACTATTTATTGTCTTCTTGGGTTCAGTATACAAAGCAATAATCAAGCATCTTTTTAAGGTTGCCACTGACTTCCATATTATTAGTGATCTATTTAAATACACATAAGAAGCAAGCATTGATGGTTTCATTTCTCAGTGCGGCTTTTACTCCTCTAACCCCCCACACTTGGATTTGGTCTCAAACTACCTCTGCTCTTTTTATTTTTAATTTTAATGTCTATAGCATTTTCAGCTATGGCTTTTGGCTGGTCACATTTTAACAAAGTAATTTCTGAAAGGTAACTAGAAAAAAGGAAAGTTCAAGGTTCTAAGACTGCAGTATAAAACCATAAAGGCACCTGATTCACATTCAGGTACTGCTAATGTTTAGAAACCAAGTAAATGCGCAGACAAACAAGACCTTTAATGCATAGCTCATAAGTCAAGTTTTAAAAAAAAATTACTGGGGGGCTGGAGAGATGGCTCAGTGGTTATGAACACTGGCTGTTCTTGCAGACGACCCAGGTTAGAATCCCAGCACCCACATGGCAGCTAACAACTGTCTGTAACTCCAGTTCCAGGGGATCCAATGGCCTCTTCTGTCCTTCACAGGCACTGCATGACATGGGTGCACTTACATACATGCAGGCAATACACTCACATAAAATAAAAATGATAAATAAAATACTTTTTAAAAATTACTGGTAGAGAAACACTGGAACCTCAAAATTATTGAAGACATAGGAAAATTTAGGTCACCATTTTAGACTATCATTTATTTTACAGAGGATAAAGGTTGAGCTTAGTGGAAAGGGTAAAGTCTTTTTTAAAAGTCAATAATCCAGCTGGGCGTGGTAGAGCACACCTTTAATCCCAGCACTCGGGAGGCAGAGACAGGCGGATCTCTGTGAGTTCAAGGCCAGCCTGGTCTACATAGTGAGTTCCAGGACAGCTGGAGCTACAGGGAGACCCTGTCTCAAAAAGGCCAATAAATAAATAAATAAATAAAATAATTAGAAAATAAAAGTCAATAATCAAAGGCTAGTTCAGTGGTCTACCACAGGCTCTGGGTTACCCTGCCACCAAGATAAGAAAAAAACAAAAATAAAAAGCAAACAAAACAACCCAAATGGATGGAACTCCTAATATTATTTAATTAAATCAGGAAAACCCATCATTTCAAAGCCTGGGAGCTGTAGCTCAGTGGTAGAACACTGCCTAGTATGTACAAGGCACTGGGTTCCATCCCCAGAGCCACAAGAAAGAAAAAGAAGCGGGGGGGGGGGGGGGGGAGGAGGAAGAGGAAGGAGAAAAAAACCTACTGAATTGTATTTAGTTTAAGCAGAGTTACAAATGAGATTTCAGACATATTTCTTGGAAAATCTTGCACATGTAAAATATATCAAATTTGTATACCTACGGATAGTAAAGTACAGCCTTCTCTATTAATCTTCAAGCTCATACTTTTTTTCCTTCCAGTGATTAGGTTTGACTGCTAGTTAAGCACTCTGCCACTGAGCTACACCCTTAGCCTTCATATACTGACTTTAACTCTACTCACAGGAACAAATGAAAAGAAAAATCAGTCTTATTATTCTATATACACTGTAGGTAAATGATTCCTTATCAGCTTAATGGCAGGTTTCTTTTGTTTATTTACAGATTTGATTTAAAGGCCTCAAAATTAGGTCAAACTCTGAGTTTACCTTTAAAGATAGCCAATGTAATCAAGTTTCCCTAAGGTCATATACAAATTCACAAACACCCAGCTTGATAACAAGCCTGTGAAAATCCACACTATGAACATTATAATAGAAAGCAAAGAAAATGTCCATCAAAGGGGGGTGTTATTTTTATAGACCTTGAAACTCAACTTTGAAGCTTTGGTGAACATGCTTTATGATTCTTTTAGGCTTAAAGAGAAAAAAAAAACTTCAAATACCTCTAGCGGGAAGCATGATAAATTTGTAAGTTTTCCTCCTAAAAAATACTTTTAAGCCATTGATTATCATAGGTTTCTTTAAAAGCTTGTTGATACATTTTTTAAAAAATCTAAAATTGTGACTAAGTAAAATATTTATGATTTAAAACCAGCTTATAAACTTATTCTAAAAAAAATTATATCCACCAAAAGAAAATACCAAGTAAAATGGACTATTTATGAATACAAAATGTTAATAATTAAAATGTCAGAACAGTTTACCATAGTTCATTTTTATACACTACACAAAGTAGGAAGATAATCAGAGTTGGGAGAAATTGACAAATACATTCCTCATCATAAAAAATCATTTTACTAACGAAAAACGTAAATACAGCATAAATGTCTATGATTACTGTGCAAATGAAAAGCATTGTTTTAAAGCACAATTCTTTAAGAAATAAGAAAGAGATCAGTGTTTCAGCACAATATGCAAGATTTTAGAACACAAACTCTCATTTATCTTGATTTACAACAATCTATGCTAAAAAGCTGGGACATTAAAAAATACTAACTAAAATGTCAAAACATAATTTCTATACATACGACAAAGATTTCAAATCAATAGTTCAATCTTTTTATTTAGCAGAACTGGAGTTAATCAGGCAAGCCTTGAAGCTAGCTCTCATTAATAAATTGTCATTTTTTAAGATATGAAATTAGGAGAAACCTAAAAATTAGAACAAAACAGATATTATTTTATAAAATCAATCTTACAATTTTGTGGTATTTTTCTGAAATCAAAGTTATTCCAGTCTTATAATAGATCTGTTAAGATGAAAATATTCATGATTTTAGAATTGATGTACTTATTGCAATAATTTTGAGAGAAAGCATTTCTTTCCAATTAAAGAGCTTTGCCAGTATTTTCCACTTGTTTTTTAAGGCAAAGGTACAATGGACATTGGTAAACGGTCATTGTCAGACTGCTCAGGTAATCATTGATGCTGAAGGCTCATACTTAAAGCTCTGTTATTGCTTGTAAACAAGTAGAATACCAACCCTGTGACTGCCAAGACGGGGAGACAATGTATCCTCAACTCCCTGATGAAAATAAAAACAAACATATTAAACGTTTGTGAGCGACTACATCAAGTCAAGGAGGAACAGTACTGCTAGCAAGTTGAAAAGTTACTACAAACCAGATAAGGACGGTGATGAATGGACCGGTGAGAATACCTGGCCCTTTCTGAATCTTCCTGGTAAAGAAGAAAGTACACAGATAGTTAATCACCAAACAAACAACTATTTATCAGGGCAAAGGAGCAAAGAGCAGCCAGTTAACAGCAAGGCAGCACCTTCTCAGAACAGGCAGGTTTAGACACGTAGTTTAAAGCTGAGTTTGGTGCCATGACATGCTTTGGGTGGGAAGACGGTAGAAATAATCCTAGCAGTGTTGGCAGGTGAGTATATGTCCAAGCACATATGTGATATTATTCATATAGGATCCAGAGAGCTCAATTTACTGACATAAAAACACACAAGAATACTTAACACACAGGTGTTCGCTGAGCATTGGAAATAGATGTCTATTTTTTTGTTGTAAACGTTAGCTTATGTAGGACAGAAAGAAATGTTTACTTTGTCATAGATGTATTTTAAGAAGGTCGTGTATTGCTTTAGAAATACTTGGGCTGGAACTGGAGAGATGGCTCAGTGGTTAAGAGCACTGACTGCTCTTGCAGAGGACCTGGGTTTGATTCCTAGCACCCACATAGTGGGTATGAACCATTCTTAACTCCAGTTCCAGGGGAATCCAACACCCTCTTCTGACCTCTGCGTCACTGCACGACATGGGTGCATTCACATACATGCAGGCAATACACTCATACACATAAAATGAAAATAATAAAATACTTTAAAAAAAAGAAATACTTGGGTTGTAGTTTGGTGCTCACTGTAAAGAAGTCTTTCCCCCCCCACTCCTCTTACTATTCTAACTGGAAAAGAAATAAGGCACTAACCCTGTCTGTTGTTATTATGAAAAACTACCCAAAAGAAATAACAAATATTTCAGAGTTGGTAAAGTTAAGTCATGCCTTAAGTCGTTTATAAAACGACTGACCACAGCCTAATAGTTGACTAAATTCTGTGCAATACTAGAATTTTCCACATTCAGTCATCAGGAATGGAGCATTAAGACCTGTGAGTCATGTGATATCAAATGGTTAGTCCCCAGAATATGGTCACCTGAAACCATAAGGAATTTCTGTTTCAGAATATCAAAAACCAAAAATGTTCATTTGTACTGTGAAAATGTATAGCTACCTAGTCTAAGAGGGCTCACTGCTATCAACATCAATGCTCTTCCCCCAAACAAAATGATGCTGTGACACGCCACAGTAGTCCAGCCAGATCATTGCTCAGGTGAAACAAACAGATCAGACTATTCATTTCAAAAAAGAAACAGCTTTAATGCCTCATTTTGGTCACAATTTTTGTGTATAATTCAAAAAACAATCTTCACTGACGTCCACTGAACACATCATTGCATTCGATAAAATTTATTCTAAAATCTGTTTTAAAACACCGCGACGCTTCTGTGATTCCATTTCCAACAGGGTATTCTAACCTCTAGGCATCAATCACTGACTTACTTTTAAAAACATTTTTATGTAACACACACACATGTAATCTGCAGGAGATCAAGCATATTTGTGGCCTTTCTTTACTAAATGATAGCATATGCAAAAGTCTTGGAGCCATGTGAGTTAATCTGGCAGAGCACACAGGTAACTGATTCCAAGCTAGTTAGCTTGGTTGGTTTACAAAGCCTTATACTACATATAGAGATAAATTAATTTTACATGCCTTCCGGTGTCATTGGGGCACTAAAGTGACATTCAAGGTTTAATATCCATCGCACTTTTAATCCCTGCACTTAGGAGGCAGGGGCAGGTGGGTCTCTGTGAGTTCCAGGCCAGCCAGGGCTACATAGTGAGACCCAGTCTCAAAATCAAACAAACAAAAATCCATCTGAAGAGCACATTTCAATAAAGATGCAAGGATATATGGATCCATAATTATTTTCAATAGGTCACTATCAAAATAATTCTAAGTTTAATACTTCATTAAGTATTGATATACCACTATATTTAAACAGTTTAAAATTTTTTAGTCCATTGAAAATTTGGCCTAAAAAGACTTCATAAGACTACAGAATAACTATATGCCCCATACCATCCTGTTCATTTGAACAGGGACTATGGCTCATCCCATAGTCACAAACTATACCTTAAATGAGCACTGTCCAACAGCATTTTCTGTGATAATGGAAATAGTCTATATTTGTGTTATGGAAGCCACTAGCTGCATGTGGCTACTGAGCACTTGAAATGCTGGACATGCAACTGAAAATCTAAATTTTAAATTGTATTTAACTGTAGCCAATTTAAATTTAATTACCTATACATGGGTTAAGGCTACCATACTGACAGCATTTCTCTAATCCTATCTGAAAATCCTATTAGGTAAAATAGTAAGGAAAACTCAAAGTACATTTTTGTCAGGCCAAAACATTTACAAAACACATTTTACTATGTGTCTACTAAATAACCCCACTCTCATGCAGAAAGGCAAAGGATCAATGTAGTTTCTAAGTATTCGAACTACCATAAAACTATAAAAAAAACATTGTAAGAGGCAAATATGAGGAAAATAGAAGGAAACACTGCATGAAAGACCTCAGTGATAACTACAGAATTTTGTTTTTTGAGACAGGCTCTCAGTAACCCAGGCTGGCCTTGAACTCACTATGTAGTTCAGGCTAGCCTCAAAATCTTGGCACTCTCCTGCCTCAACCTCCTAGGTGCTACAGCTACAAGCAGGCATCACTATGGAAGACTCTAGATTTTTAAGAGCTCAAAAGAGACCATCCTATCTGATCCCCTCACCTTACAGTATAGAAAGCTTTCACACAGGATTAAGTAGGAGTCTGCAAGGTCTTAAGGCTGAGACCAGCATTCAGATCCTAGGACTCACCAGATCCCTTAACCACAAAGACAGTATCCGTCCTACACCCACTCAATTACACAGAAATAGTAGCAAACAAAGCAGATTCTCCCTCCTCTGAAAGAACAACATCCTCATTTTCCAGGTATGTCTACAGTATTAGACATGAAAGCCAATGGCTTTTCTTGAATTAACAGCACCAGTAGCTAAATAAAATAGATTGTATCAAACTGTGTTCTTAGGTATTAATTACAAGGCAGAGTATTCTCCTCCTCTACATTAAGGAAACAATGCAGTGTCATCATCCTGGCATCCTTATTAGGACTAAAGTACTCAAGACTGAGCAAAAATAGGACAATACCTTAAGTGACTGGGTATTTTTATTCCAGACTTTCTGGAGTCTTTTCCTCCCTGGCTGCCTGAAGACTGGCCACTACCATGAATGATAAAGTAACTATCCAGACCAGGAAGTTCATGACCAATAGAATACTTCAGCCAAGACAACTTAGACTGTGTCTCATAAAATAAGGAGAGAGCAGGGTGTGCTGGCACATACCTTTAATCCTAGCACTTGGTCAGCAGAAGCAGGCAGATCTCCAGGAGTCTACATATATCAAGTTCCAGACCAGTCAGGGCTACACAGTGAGCTCTTGTCTCAAAAAAAACAAACAAAAAACCCCAAACCCAAATAAAAATGAAAGGGAGGGAAGGGGGAAAGAGAGAGACAGACAGAGACAGAGAGAAAGAGAAAGACACAGAGAAAGAAATCCAGTCTCATGAACACACCTGGCCATCTGCTTACAAATGATACTTGTTAAGCTTGAGCTGGGGTGGTTCCTTCTTTCATATCAGGAAACACTGGAAACTGTATTTCCTCTTCCAGACACACACCAACACGCTACTAACTGAAGGCACAAAACTTAGAAGCAGAATTGTGGCCTTCATGGAAAGCTGGCCACAGGACAACTGTGTGGAGCCCAGGAAGACTCCTGCCCTTTCTGTGTTTCACCTCCCAACCTGTTAGCAGCGATGGCACTCTCCCTACCTTCATTCTGGCTAAACAGGTTATGTATGTCCCTAACTCTGTACCTTCTTGTCTAGAAAATGGAGAGTGCTACCTGTCTCAAAGCAAGCAGAAAGCTCCAGCTCAGTGCTGGAACAGCAGCTTCCTTCATTGCTGAGCCCTGGGTTCCTTACCCATATCTCAGTGAACCAGTCTGACACAAAAAAGCATTAGAATTAAGAGAAATATTTAACATGAAAAAAACAGTCTCACAAGACAGTCCTGTTTGTGCATATGCACCACTGATTTCATTAAAAATTCATTAGACACTTACGAGTGATATATCACATGATAACCTACGGGCTCACAAATAAGGGAGCCAAAGAGAAAGGTAAGAGGAGAGGGAAAGAATCAGTTTGAAAGGAGGAAAGACCAGAGGCAGAAGGGAGGGGTGACAAGTATTCCCATCTGAAACAAATTCTGACCCTCTTTGTGTCCAAGTCCTAGATATCAATCAGGATTGAGATTAGTCACCAAGTACATTTTAAGCCTCTAACCAAAACCATGTGAGTCTAACGCTCTCACTACTTAAGCTACATACATATCACTGAATTTAAGAAATATATTGCTTATCTTCACAGCCCCTGAACACAGAAATGAAATGTTTAACTTTTAATATATGCTTTTGTTTGTATTTAATGTTTTCTGATTTGTCCTAAGATACTAAAATGTTAAGCAATTTTACAATTATAATGCTTAAAATTTAAATAGCAAATTAAATTATTTCCATGGAAAATGAAGCAATTTCTTTTATTCAAAAAAAATATTCTTCTTATATATTGCTAATATGACCCATTTACATGCAGAAAATATATTAAATAAAATGAATTAGGCCACCTTTAGTAAGAAAGGACAGAGCCCACTCCAAAATAAGAAATGCAAACACGAGGAGCCACCTAATTTTAAGGTAACCAAGTATCTTTTTCAGTTTCCTAAGATGATTATGACAATGATTACAATAAAGTTTTAAACTCAAAGGTCAGCACAATTACAAATATCTTAAGACTGTACCTTAAAATGCTGCTCTAGAAGAAATCTGTTTATGAAAGCTGCTTCTATAACAGCAATTGAGACAGTGGTTCTTAACTCTTTGGAAATCATAGACTTCTTTTGTGAAGCTGGTGATAAAAATGCCTATGAACATTTCCCATAAAAATATACACACTTTCAAATGTTTGCATAATATTTTAGGGCTTCATACACCTCCTCCCAAGCCTTAGGCACATACCAAGTTAAGAATCCTGCAAGAGAAGATGGCTAGAGAACCTTGAAAAAAGTTCCAAGTTAACAAGTGCTTCACAATAACTAATGATTTGCTTTTTAGCTAACAAGTTTGAAGCGGTAGTTGAGGACTTGAAAAAGAGAGATTAAATAATAATTTTCAGCCAGGAGTGGTAGCTCATGCCTTTAATCCCAGCACAGAGGCACAGGAAGGTGGATTTCTGTGAGTTCAAGGCCAGCTTGATCTACATTGCGAGTTCCAGACCATTCAGTGGTACATAGTGAGACATTATCTCAAAAAACAAAATGACAAACAAAAGCAAAAAGGGAGCACTATTCAGAGGGTGAGGAAGGACGTGGGTCATCTACCAATGAGGAGTCTATGGAGTCAGGTTTTTAAAGGTAGAAAAGGGGAGGAGGAGAAAGAGGGATCTGAGGTAGGAAAGAACAAACCCATTAAAAAAAAAATTCATTTACTCAACATTTCTTGATTCCGGGCATTCATGAATTGAAAGTGAAGCTACTGACCATAAAAGAAAATGGTTGGACTCAAGAATATATTGATCTATTACAGACAGAACAGCTATGCCGTGACCTTTAGGTTCACACAGGCCAAGCACTCCTACTTTGCAAACTATTAGTCAATGTTTTACTTCAGTATTGCATTAGTTCAGCAATTTATCACAACATGCAGGACAGGCAATCAATCCTGGCCTACCAGCCACTTCTGAATCTGTCCCCATTTCCGGTCAAAGGAATGATGAAAGGGCTATAAATAAAAGTTTTTATAAACTTGAATGGTTTCCAACATATTGCATTCTTTAAAAATTCTTAATCATAATCATATATACCTGACAGACAACAAAGGTAGATGATTCAAAGTTACACTTTGAAAATATAAGAAATTACTAAGCTAAATATGTTCAAGAACCAAAAGATGCATGGTTGTCTGCACAGATAGGACATATATTAAGAACTTATGCCTCGGCGGTTAAGAACACTGGTTGTTCTTGCAGAAGACCGGGGTTCGAATCCCAGCACTCACATGGCAGCTAACAACTGTCCTTAACTCCGGTCCCAGGGAATCCAACAGCCTCTTCTGTCCTCGCGGGCATTGCATGACACAGGTGCACTTACTTACATGCAGGCAATACACGCATACACATAAAATAAAATAAAAAAATAAAAAAATAAAAAAAAGAACTTCTGCCTCTATCACTGAGTATAAAGACAGTGCAATGCAATAATTATATTTCAAGCCAATATTTGGAACTGTATCTACAGTAAGAAAATTTATCAATGTATCACAAATACACACATTTCTTTTTAACCTGTTAGAAGAAAATCTACCATTAATATCAAAATTAAGTGCTTACTACTTCTCCACAGATGTCTCCCCCTTTGTACTAATAAAATTTCAAAACATTTTTGTGAGAATTTTTAGGCCCAAGACAATAATCAGAAAGAAAGGTAAAAAGAGGGCTTTATCTTAGCCTAACTTCCACTAGCATATTTAATTTTTTTTCATTTTTCTGATGACAAAAGCATACTAACCACAGAAAAGCATAAGGACAAAGTAAAACCAGCTGTAACTCTATACCATCAAAAACTAAAGCACTGATTAAACTAGTTCTTTTTGATCCAATAGATGGGCATTGTTTTGTTGTTGATGGTGGTGGTGGTTTTTAACACAAAACTGGGTGCTTTCCCAATTTTATAGTTTAGTTTTTGTTTCCTATTCTTTTACATGAATATTCTACTACATTATTAAATATACTTCAAAATAGTAAGAGTAAAAATCTAGCTTATTAGTTGAGGTCAAGGTTCACCGTGATGCTCCTGCACATATCTCATGTCAAAACCTTCCATTCCAAAACTTCCAGGTGGCCAATGTAGCACTAAGATCCTGAACATCTATATCCTATGGAAACAGACTGACTGTGAGGAATGGAAAGATGCAGGCAGAAACCATGTTTGTGCTTTAAGGAGAAAATGCAGAACCAGCTCTAGAACAGCTTACAGAGTTGCTTACTCTGAAGGTCAAGAGTTGGGATATGAGGTGATGAACCAGGACCTTGGGTTTGGCCTCCTCTCCCAGTCCTTTCAACAATCCATCTTTCATATGATATTCTCTGTAAGGCCCCCCTCCTCTCTCAGTGTTCATTATGAACTGCTTTATCTAAAAAGAAAATGCAGTTGCTGGCCCAGGAGGGCAAGATCCAGATCTATGTTCAAGAGGAGAAGGAGCCAGCACTCTGAAAAGAAAGAAGTTGCCCAACCTGGGGATTTCCCGACCACTGATTCACTTGAATGCCTTGTGACCCATGATGGTTCTTTACACTTCCTGAGCGTTAAAGATGGGAGATTTGAGGCAGTGAGCTCTCCCCCATCATCTTACCTGTTTTCCTCCCATATCCCTATACACACACACACACACACACACACACACACACCCCACTTCCCCTCATTACCTCTCTCTGCTGTCGTTCCAGCTCTCTCATGCGTATGTCTCTGGCTTCTGCCCGGGCAGCCCGTTTTGCTGCTAGCCTTGCTTCTGCCTGAAAAATAACATAAACTTCAGCTTTATAAAACAATAACCAATACACACGAGATTTGGGGATAAGGAACAGCAAGGCCTATCTTCTAAAGAGGTTAGAGAGACAAAATATTACCTAACAGCAACTCTGATTAACTTCAACCAACTTCCACACATTCCCATCTTTCTCTAGTCTCAAAATCTCTCTTCAACTCAGGGCCATTATCGTTAACTACTTACCTTAATTACATTTAATATATTTCACAGGTCATTATATATTTCCCCAAAACTTATTCTTTTCTAGGATTTCTTTCCTTATCAATTCAATCATATAACTAGAGACTTCAGAAACAGCTCTATTTCATTTTGAATACTGCCACTATTCAGTCTCCAAGTAATGTCAATTCTGTCACCGAGTTTCTCAGACCCTGCTTAATTCAGGATCTCCACCCACTTCAGTTCTTCTCCCTCTGTCCCCCCACCCCCTCAAGTTGAGATATAACTTACATCAGATGTAAGTCACCATTTTAAAGTATACAATTCAGTGCTTTTTAGTATATTCATAATAAAACGGTCATCACTACTGACTCAAGAACCTCAAAAAGAAAGCCCATAGGCATAATGATTGTTCCACATTATACTTTCCCCTAGCTGCTAGCACCTAGTAATCTCTAATAATTTGCCTATCCTAGACATTTCACATAAATGGAGTCACAACAGGAACGCTCCATCTCTTGCTTGGACTACGAAACAGCCTCCAAAACCTGTTCATCTCCAGAATCTCCTCTATACTCTATAATTCATCTTCAACATGATTATACAACTGACAAACCTGTTTTTTGGGGGGTTTTTTGTCTTTTTTGAGACAGGGTCTCCCTGTAGCCTCAGCTATCCTGGAACTCACTATGTAGACCAGGCTGGCCTTGAACTCACAGAGATCCGCCTGCCTCTGCCTCGTGAGTGCTGGGATTAAAGGCATGTGCCACCATGCCCAGCCAACAAACCTGCCTTTTAAAACACAGCTTATAAAAAAAAAACAACAAAAAAAAAACCTTTTTATTATTTTGAAATTATTATGTATATGAGTGTATTGCTTCCATGTATGTAAGTGCACTTGTGTCATGAAATGCCAATGGACATCAGAAGAGGGTTTGGATCCTCTGGAACTGGAATTATAGTTGGTTGTTAACTGCCATGTTGGTGCTGGGATTTGAACCCAGGGCCTCTGCAAGAGCAGCCAATGCTCTTAACCACTGAGTCATCTCTCCAGTCTCTCAAAACACATTTCTAATGCCACTCAGCTGTTTAAAATCCTCTACTGACTCTCTATTACTTAGGTTAATTTGAGGGAACTGCATGAAAAGGACAGAAGAGGCAAAAATAGAACAAGGTTCCTCACAGCCAGAACCTGCTCCTCATGGACCAGCCACCCCATCTTCCTCCACGCCTGAACTTCAGAGCTTTCTGTTATAGCTCCTCTTCACAGGCTACTTTTCTCTATCACCCTTCTTCAGCTAAAATACTACTTTCTCTGATGTATAGTGCTATCCTCCGAGCAAAACAGCCAATACCTTCATCAGAGCAGCTGGGACCAGTTGCAAGAGACCCTCAAAATGGGGCCTGCTGATATTCCCTCACAAAGTGGATACAGAGGGTCATGATCTCCTCGCCTGAGTTCTCAAGCACTTTCTCCTGCACCTCCCTGCTTGCTGCATGTGATGCTGCCCTAACTGCGCATGTCCTTGTGGTCTCAGGAAGTACCAGAGCCTAGAGACTGTGAAAGGTTAACTGAAGAAGAGACTCCACATAGGCACCTATGGGGAGTGAGACTTTGGGATGTGCCGCTGCTTTGCTCCTGTAACTCCTCACCCATGCTCTCTACATAGGTCCAATACACTCAGGGATTCCCCAAGTTGGACTTTAGTCGAATCATACTTTAATTTGTTGTCAGTATGCTATGAGGAGCTACATCCTTGCTTGTATTTCCCTAGGAAAGAACTCCCACAATATATGATGAATACTCCCATCCTTTTCATAAAGTAAATACTATATACCCATACCTCCATAGTGCTGCTACCACTTTATATTAAAGCTGCAAGCCAGGTGTGGTGGAGCAAACCTGTAATCCTAGAACTCAAGAGGAAGAGGTGGTAGGATCATCGCAAGCTCAAGGCTATCCTGGTCTACACAGTAAGTTCCAGGCCAGCTAGGGTTACATAGAGAGACCTTGTCTTAAAAAAAAAAAAAACAAAAAAAAAAACCCTGCATTGGTGAGATAACACAGTAAGTAAAGGCCCTTGCTCCCAAGTTTGACAACCTAAGTTTGATCCCTAGTACCCATCCACACGGTGGAAGAACAGAACTGACTCACAAAAGTTATCCTCTGACCTTTGTGTGTGCATATGCATGCACATATGTATGCACACACATGCACATACACAAAATAAGTGCTTTTAAAAATTAAGAATTAAAAAAAAGTGCATGCCTCTGTCACTCCACAACTTTCATGACTCAAGTGAATTTCAAACTATGGATCAAAAAAAAAAAATCAAGGAAATTAGGAAATAGCTTAATGCACCACATGAAACTTAAAACTCTTCTCTCTGGTTTCTGCTTTGTAATGGGTTCCCCTGTCCTTGGCCACAACCTTACCCTGATTCAGATTAGCCCTCTGATAGAGGAGTTGCTTCTTTCCATACTGTTACACTGTGCCTAAATCTCGTAATATCAAGAAACTCAGCTGATGCTTACAACAGTCTACTATCCTAAGCAATTATTTAGGCACTAAAAGTTCACAGTGTGAGATGACACCTCTGCCCAGCTCTCAGATTTGGGAGACAAACACAATCCTGGGGAAGGAAGGAGGCTGGAGGGAGAAAGTTTTGCCTAATAGACCCAGATTAATAGTCAACTCCTATTTACCCCAATTTTGGCAATGCCCCAGTCTGCTGAACTCGTCTTTTAATAGCAAAAAGCCTGCAAAATAAATTAAAATTTACAGACCATAAATTGTAACAACAGACATGTCTGGAGCATTAGCATTCTCATCTGAATTTTACACTGGCCCTACCTCTTAGAAACATGTTTTGCCTCAAGTTAAATGCCTCCTTTCCCTCCCATAGACTATGAACCGATACCACTTTCTTTTACTAGAGTTTGTATTTGATAGAAACAGACTTCAAGGCTAACATGTTTCAATAGATAGCAAATACATTCTGAAACTACAAAGCAAGAGAACTTTCAAATCCTTCTACATTACAGCCCCAGCAATGAGTAAGATGTCCTTTCTATGTACACTAGCTTTGTGCCTGTAGCCTCTTTTAGAAGTTTAACTAAAAATATTTATTTCGTCCATCTAGGCTCTATGGCCAATTCTGTACAATTTTTACCAAATGAGCCTTCTCTAACAAAATTTAACTACAGATAATTGAAATCTGTTCTTCAATGAGACTTCTTCCACAACCAAAAGGACGGAAAGTGAGAATATGCATTACAAGGAGACACCAAGTAATTCAGATGCTGGCTCTGTTAGAAATGGTGTTTTAAACCTCAAGTTCTAAAACAGGCAAACAGGACCTAAGTGGACTTTATCTGGTTCCTCTGATACACTGGTACAAGCCAAGGGAAGTAATCCCTGATAGCAGGAGTAGGGAGGAGCCAAGGCTGATTCCCATGCAGTAGGCAAAGCCTGTGCTCTCTAACTCAGCATGACATATTTTGAAGACAATAATGAATAAACGCAGCAACTTCTAGGGAGTAACAACATTTTGCCCCAGAATATAATCCACAAAAAGTTGCTATAGATTCGTTTTGCCACACATCTCTCTCATATACACAAAATAAATGAAACATAACCAAGTTCAAAATAAAGTTACAACTAGTCAGGCATGGTGAGACACGCCTTTCGTCTCAGCCTCCAGGAGGCAGAAGCAGGTGGATCTCCATGAGATGGAAGCCAGCCTGGTCTATACAGTGAGTTCCAGGCCAGTTGAGGCTACAGGGAGACCCTGTCTCAAAAAACAAAACAAAATTAAATTAAAACTAAACGCAGAAAGACCATTTGACCCAAACAATTCCACTTATGGATAAATGCAGAAAAGAGTTAAAAACAGAGGCTCAAAGAGATATCTGTATATCAGTGTTCACAACAGCATTATTCACAATAACCACAAGGCGATGAACAACCCAAAAGTTCATTGATGGATGAAGAACAATTTGTGTTACAGACATATGATAGAATATTATTCAGTCTCTAGAAGGAATGACATTTTGAAACTACCATGGGGATGAATCCTGAAGAAACATTAAATGAAACAAGGTGGACGCAGAAGGACAAATATGTAATTCTGATTACGCAAAATACCTAAAGTAGTCAAACTCAGAGACAGAGGGTCAGATGGTGGTTTCCAGGGGCTGAAGGAAGGGGAACAGGAAATTATTTAACAGGCAGAGTTTCAGTGCTGAAAGACGAAAATGTTCTGCAGGAGGATCACAGTGACAGTTACACCACATAAATGTACATAATGCTGCAGGAATGTACATTCAAAATCATTATCTTGGTAAACTCTGTCATAAATATTTTATCAAAAGAGAGTTAGCTAAATTAAGAAATTACCCTAACACATGAAATCCTAAGTATTCAGGAGTTTGAATCATTTATGCTCTTAAGTCTAAAATGATCCCAACTCTTAACACTAATATAAAACATCAGGAACGGGAAATTCAGGTTCAGAAGTTACCTGTGAAGTCAGGCAGGTCACAGGACTGAGAATGATGCTGGTTATTATACTTTCAAGTATGAGGTGCATTAAGGCTGGTGAAAGGGTAGAACTCGCAGCTGCAGAGGTGTGGGGGAGTTTATCTTAGAGCAGTAAGAAGGATAACACAAGAAGTAAAGACAATGTGGACAGCGTTAATTCCATTTATGACTAAATGTTGGGGCAAAGAGAAAAATAAAATGGCAACAAAAATTATAGGTCTTAAGTCACCAACTCATAACCCTCCTAAATTAGTAGAACATTC